CTTTAGACTAAACTACCAACTACTGGAAAGCTGCACAATTATAAATAACATTTTGATTGGTTACAGCAGGAATTGAAAGCAGATGAAGGGCACTGCATTGGGTTGTATAGGGCCTTGCTCTCAATACAGATGGCTGAAGCAACCTATATTGCTGATACACACAGTAAGAACTCATTGTAATGGGCCTTCAAAGCCTCCCTTTATTTCTTCTATCACTTAGATCTATTAACCAGGTGTGGAACTGACCGAACATGCTGTATTCTCAGCTTTCAGAGACCAGTCAAGGACATGGCACAAGCAGTTATTCACTTGACCAATGTGGGTGTTTGATATATATATATATATACTAGCTAAGTGCACCTGGGTGACAGTAAGGCCGTGTGTCCACCAAAGAGTTTTTCCACGCGCCTGGCCTATGTTTTCAATTGTTTTCAATGGGAGCGCCGCATTTTTTTAAACGCCATGAGCGTAACGCCATAAACGCTGAAGAGCCGAGCGCCCGGCGTTTTTTACTGGTCGCCGAGAGTTGAAAAATGTTCCACTTGGGATAAAACGCAGCGCTCATCAATGTCACTTTTTACCCAGCCGTCCAATCACAGTGGAGGAGGGGCGGGACTAAACCACACTGACCAACTGTCACAACATTCAAACTGTGCTGCGAATATTCTGTATCATAGCAACGAAACGTATCAACGGAAAAAAACGCTGCGCAGCACCCAAAGCACGACGTCTTCAGCAGAGCGTCTAGCGTTTTCAGCTGGCTAAAAACGCTTTGCTGGACACACGGCCTAAATGCAGATTACTAAGTACACATACTTGTGCTGTAAGGCCAGTCGTTTGTTGTCTTACAATTGCTGTTATCTGGACCCGGCTGCAACAATTCAAGGCCATATGGTTGAAGCCGGGCTATTTTTACCACAGGAAAAGCGTCACTCTATGGCAGTGTGATGCGTAAGTACAGGGTAGACACCAGCACAATGCGCTCCTGCCCGAAATACATGAAATCTGTGGGCAGCGCTGCAGTCCTCAGGCACATGTTCTGCGGCCGGCCTGATTAAAGCCCTCTCCGCTGCGCTGACATGGGCTCCTCGCTCTGGCTACCTTCCAGATGTTCAGAAGTTCCACCAGCCTTGCCATCGGCCCTTCTGTGTTATTACTTCAACATGCAACCCTCCTCCTTCGAAACAAAATGCATTCTGTAACTGAATTTGAGGATGGAGGGGGAAAAAAAGGATAGTGGAGGGGAGATTATTGTGGGTGTCTTTTTCCACTTCAGCTTAGGACTGTGTGGTTATAATTTTAGATGTGGGAATGAAGGGCTGCATGCTGAACTCATTTGAGGGAAGGGCAAGTCGTGCGCCAGAGAGGTCGTGGTTAGCATGGGAGGGGCACAACGTGTACCATGACATCTTTTCTTTTTTGCATTGTTTCCGTTTTTTCCCTTCTTCGTTTGCCTAACCGCCCTTTCCCTTTCTCCTTCTCTCTGTACTTGCGGAAACTCTGGGATATTGCCATCTCACTGCCGTAATGCACATTATAAATATCCTTTATAGCACAATGGTCGTAGAGATCTGCTGGTAAGCATTCGCCTAACTGGACGGGCCTTTTTCAGGATGGTACACACCCTTTACTGCTCTTCTGTGGCAAAGTGATCAGTAAAAATTTAATGACACCATAAAATAATAAAAATGCCATTGATTTATCACAGCACTTGATGCAGACAGTAGTAAAGGCGCTTTAGACCGTTTTCTTTTTTCGAGTCTTCAAACAAAAAGCCTGGTGTTATGCATATAAATTATTTCTCTCGATAATTTGTACCTAATGCTACGACATAAATTACAGAAGTTACAACCAATAAGTGTATAAAACAGTATATTAAATTGAATAGAAATTCATTGTACAATATTTGAAAGTGTCATATTTCTCCTAATATGCACTGTAAACTGTCGCTCTTTCCCATGAATTTCAGCACCTCCTAGGCATGAATGAACTCTCTCTACCTCACTCCATTAAGTTAGACCTGCGCCTCTGAAGTGTCTAATCTCGTTTTCACGTACAAAAGCTCTCACCCGGCTCATTCTTTAATTCTATGGAAAATGAGAAAGTTTCCCGCCTAAACAGTATTTAATGAAACTCAATGATGGATGCTCCTTGTTCCCCAAACTGATGTTTAATGATCATGACTTTATAAAAGGGGTTGATTGATCAGAGAGAGCCAGCTGAGCAGGGAGGAGGGGATGACACAGGCAAGTAATTTATAACCCAACACACACACAAGTTGTTGGGCCCTTCCCCAGTGGACAGTCCACGGCGCATCGGCCATCACTCGTGCGACTAATCGCACATCAGTCAATTTGTCATTGGGTGCTGCGCCTCTTTCATTAAGTGCAATAATGCGGTCTGGTGATGAATACAGCAGTGTAGGAGGCTTCGTACAGAGCGTGGCACACCAAGCCTAAACTTATCTTTACAAAGCCGTCTGAGCCCAGCGGGGACCGCTACATATGTCATAATTAGAAAACACTTAAATAAGCAAGACAGAGTCAAGACAGGCAGCTCTTAATGACAGGCCATAAGCAGGTAGTGGTTAATTGTACATCAGAATCACTCAGATGGCCATAAATAATGATTGTTCCATCAAGCGTGGTGGTGGGAAATTGCGGTACTCTCTCTCTACAGCTTTTCTCTCTTTCACTCTGTGCCGTGTTTTTGAGTTATAGTAATAGTTTTTAGAGGGAAAAAAACAGTAGTAGATATTTGTTTTTGGGTAAAAATGTATGTTATCAAGTAGACAAAAGATTTATTTATTTATTTTATGAATTTGTGGCAGCTTATAGCATTTATTATTTTTTATTTTGTTATTATTTATTTATTTTTTTCCAAGGACTGCAATAGTGCAGCGTTACTTGAAGAAGGTACAAGTGCTGTGTTTAAGTCTCTTATGCTCACAATACTGTAAAAACTGTAAAATTGTGAAATATCATTACAATTTCAAGTAGTTCTTTTAATATATTTTAAAATGTTTAAAATTTATTCCTGTGATTGCGAAGCTGAATTTTCTGCATCATGTTTCCAGTCTTTAGTATTACATTCAATAATCATTCTAATATGCTGATTTGCTGCTAAAATATATATATATGGAAACCGTGATACATTCTTTCCAGGATTGTGAATATAAAGTTAAAATAGAGCATTTATTCAAAATAGAAATATTTTGTAACATTATAAATGTATTTACTGTCCCTTTTTTTAAACAGCAGCTTCTGAATAGCAGTGGATGTATTTACAGTATATGGAAATAACAAATAACAAGACATGTTTGTGCTTAAAAAAATGACAAGGCTAGTTCAGTGCATTTTGAACCTGGTTAAACTGGATTGCAGGTGGGCTAGTTAGTGAACGTGACAGGCTTTCATGCTGAAACACCACATACAGTACAAACGTGCCTGAACTGTTTAGTGAATTTGCCCCTCAGTGATGATAAAGTCTATTGAAAGTGACAACAGCAATAAGAACGGAATACTCCCAAGTAATCCACTATTGTCATGAGCTATTGACAAGTTGAGCCGGAGTGATAATCTTTTGCCTTGTGAAGAGCTTCCACTGTCTACGGGCTCCCCAGTGGCGAAAAGAACAGAAAACAAACGAACGAGCAAAACGGCCAAAGCAGCGCGGCTGAAAGATTAATGTGTACGTTGGTATCTGTGTCTATGTCTGTGGCAGGGGAGCTGTTAGCATTGTGTTGGGAGGCCGCCCGAGTGTCTGTTCAAACTGTGTATGATAGGCATTCTCTAAAGAAAAGACAATTCAAGCACACCTTTTGCCTGAGATTGAATGCCCACCCTGGGAGAAGAACAAACGCTCTGGGGCCGACTCACCATAACGCGCTTTGCTTTTACCATCTTCCTGCTCCATTCGGAGGGGGGAGAGATTACTTGTATCATGCCGAGGCAAAGTGTCCATCTCCTCTTCGAGTCTTTAGAGAGCGCGAGACGGGCCTTCACTAATGCCCTGCCGCACTCACGGCAGAACTAGGTCATGTAACAATGGGCCCGAGCAGCGGTCGGCCCTCTTCCTCTGCATAATACATTAAGTCTAATGTGCTGCAACCATTCAGGAGGACCCCCCAAAAGCTGTTATTTTATTCTGTAAATGCACACGGACATGACATTCAATATAGTCGCACCAGCGAAGAATGACAGGGGTTTATTGTGCATCAAGTGCGACATGATGCCAAGTTTAATCTGAACAGAGAGCAACATGACAAAAGGGAAAACACGGCATGTTCCTCGGAGCATGAGCCTTGAATAAATGATAGACAGGGAGCTCAGGGCGGCAGAGACAGGGGCATGTACTGCAAAGATTAGAGCGGAAAAGAAGAAATAAGCTGAACGTTTCACTGGAGGTCCCAGGCTGCATTGTGTGCTCGGGATCTTTCAGTGTGTTGTTTCTAAATCCTTTTTAGCAGAGTGTTCCAGACTCTTATCGGTACAAGTCCCTGCAGATGAAGACAGTAAGAAACTACAGCTATGATAAAGATGACTTGACATGGGCCCATAAAAATGCATGCAAAGAGCATGCGTGTCCGGCAGGGTTGTGTGCCTTTCCAGATTGAATCGGTGCCTTTAAATTTCATTCCATTTTAATTCTGCTTCATTAAATCACAATTCAAATTCAGTGTATTTGTTAGTACTTAGTTTTCATACAGATTTTAGTTTGTGTGTAGTATACATTTAGTGGATATATAGTATATATAGTTATTGTTGTTGTTATTAATTTATTCATTTTATATATTTATGACATAAATAATTTTACTTCATAGGCCATTGTACCATTGTGAAAGAATACATTATTTCGCAATTTCTTATTAAACCAACATCAAGTAAAAGCCTTTATTATGAATGAATCTGAAAGATCTGAATAAATTTGGTACATAAAGAGAAACCAATCGTGTAGACAGGAAAGAGTATCTGAACACACATTTTCATTCATTTTTGCAGGAGAGGTCTCATTATGACAGCCTTGGCCATCACCTGGGCAAACTAGGCGAGGATGGAAAGATCGGTCACAGAGTCATCGACCTCACCAGGCCAGAGGATTTCGACGGTAAGTAGTGTTTCAAAACATAATGTGACTTCTCACAAATTATGCTCGTTTTGCTTTGTTGCCAAGCATTTCAATATATCTAATGCTTTTTGCTCGTCAACTACCGTGAGGAATGAGGTCAGGTACAGTTCAGTCACATGATCAAATTCCACAATTGCTCGGCCAGTTTTTAGACGGGGTAAGACGGGGGTATTGCAGTTTGCACGGCTTAACAGCTAGTTCTTCATGACAAAGGATTGGGACAATGCTGGCCCTCCTCCAGAACAAGGCTCTGTTGCCAGAGCTCGTGTTTGATTTGCTGGGTGTGGAGGTGTACATGCTGATGACAGAACTTAGATGACAAGATGTCATCTCCTTTTGCCACCCTGTTCATAAACAGTGTGCAAATATGCACTAGTGTTTTTCCCATGTATATTTGTATATTGCAATATTTACAACCATTTTCATGGAAATCTATGCCAAGATAAAGAATTCAAGTTCCGTGTAATTATAGATATTATAAGGGGACAATCACAATAGATTTGGTGGTTGTTGTTGTTGTAAGCTGATCAGCCTCTCATATCTCTTGTTTATGAGCTTTCTAAAGCATAAATTATTTATTTTGGCTGGGTAAAAAATCAAATCTGTAAATAGAGGTTTGGAGATGCAGTTTTTCTGGTCTGGCAGGATCTGCTCTGACCACCAGACCAGAGCAGATTCCCACCAAGAAGCCTATCCCACCCCTCTCAGATCAGTGAGAAAGCTGGGTCCTCCGACACGGTGGGAACCCGTCTCCTGTGGGCTCTGAAGCAGGGTTGAGGGCACCCAGCCACCCAAGAGACGCAGAGTCAAAGTCCTAAGTGGAGGTGAAGGAACAGAGAACGTCCCATCAGTTAATTCCCAGTACAGACAGGATTAGAAGGCCTCAGAGGTTTCTCATTCCAGTGGACAGGCGCCATCCCCATCTTCATCTTCCCGCAAACACATCGAGATGAAGGATGTGAACGGCATTTTATGATGATACGCCCTACATTTAAATAGTCTCTTTTACAAGTAGAATGTGTTTACCCGTTGGGAAACATGAAGTGTTTACTTGTGTGTTTTTGTGTTTAGAGCCTTTTTTTGATAGACCAAGTCAAACAAATTACATTCCTCTCCCCGAACATTTGAGGAATGTAAGCACCGTGTATGTGATACCTACGCCTGAAAATGCTACACTTCATCCTTTTTGTTCTGTTTATTTGCAACTAGTCTTTGTTTTATTATGCCACTCTGTTCAGAAGCTTTGGGGCTTTGTCAATAAAGCTAGCTATTTTTTAATGCACTTTAAATGATTTATCAGCTCAGTACTGTAGGAAACTACCATTTGAGAATTAAATTTCTTGACACTTTAACGGGGCGAACAGACTCATACAGTAACTGCCATCGAGAGCAGAGGAAAATTACTGAGTGGGTCCATAACGGCGGCGTGTTCCCCTGTACGGAGGTCCTGCCGCCTGCTGAAAAGACACGTTATATTGGAAAAGGCTTGGGGTGTAAAACAGCTCTCTGTCACTGCTGCAACTCGCAGAAAGCTTTAGGTTGCTTGAACTAATATTTGTGAAGCATGCAGCAACCAAATTAACAGCTGCCAAAGCTCTAACGAGAGAGAGGCCATTGGAAAATAACGGCGGGGTATGGAAATAGATAGAATTTCCTTCATTTCGCAAAAAGCCACGAGCCACATGCATCAGCTCACCACAAAGTCATTAGGTCTTTTTAAGCTCAGATGAAAAACATTAACTAATACCACAAAAGGCTTTAGTATGGCCCCTTTGTTCATTCACATATGGCTGCGTATGAGTTTTGTTTGCCGAGCGGGTCGGGTCGTGCGTGTGTTTAAACTGTCTCTGTCAGACGGGGGTCTTAGCTGAACAAAGGGTGTGTTGAGTGATTCCAGGGGCAGGAAGTCGAGGTAATATCAGCACACTTTTGAGACAATGCCGGCAAAAATAACAGTTTGACTTGACTAATACCTGAGCTATGTTAATGCTGAATTATTTTTGCATATGATTAAATGCATATAAAAACCTATTATCTTAGGTTAGCAATCACATCAGTCAAAGCAAAGGAACCAAAAGCTCAATCATACATTTTTGTCTGTTAGGCGATCTTTTTGTAAACGAGTATGATAAATGGCATATAATGTTATAAAAAGAACACAGAATATGTGTGGATCCACACTACTGTTTAAAAGTTTTGGGTCGGTATTCTTGAAATAAGTTTCTGCATTTATTTGATAAAAAAATACTCAAAAAATATTAAAATATTATAAAATAATAAAATTTACTATAACAATTAATATATTTAAAATTTTCATTTATTCCTGCGATGGCAAAGCCGAGGTTACTCCAGTCCTTTCAATCAGTCAATATTTTTGTGGAATATTTTGTCTTTGAATAGAAAGCTCAAAAGAACAGCATAGTTTAATGAACTTTAAGGTATTTGGAAGTCAATTCATGCCTCAAAGTAAAAAATAAAACAGGTTAAAAATATATAATTTTTAATAATAAAAAAGCACGTTGTCAGAAAAAGTCACACTGTTAGATAAAGTCACAAGAATGACAAATAAACTTGCAATTTTGAGATATAAAGTTACAATTTGCACGAAGTAATATCTTTTCATTACATCCTATTATTATTACTCTTAGGCAGTAATGGGTGCCATAGATCTATCAAAAATATAGTTTTATCACACTTAACATATCAGCTCAGAGAAAGATGGAGAACATTTAACGGTAGTGCGCTTTTGTGTGTCGCTGTCTATAGAACAAAGAGACCAGACATTCTTGTGTCTGTCTGTGTTTTCCCAGCATTCCCACTGCCAGTCCTTTATCCAGTTTTACTGTCTCTGTAGTCTGCACCTCAGCCCAAGCCTCCTTTACACGTCTCTACAATAGTGCATTGCAAACAGGAATTTAGCATGGCCCTCTTCAAGACCTTACAACATCCAGGGCGAGATGCATGAGAAACAATAGCACATGCTAACATGCACTAACACGTTGCGCTTTTGTCCATATGAACTTGTTCACACACACAGAGAGAGACAGCAGAATTCCAAATATCCAGCTGGGTGCAACACAACAATTGGCATGTTAAAGTAATGGCCTTATATCACATGCAGTGGTGGAGGAAGTACTGAATCTCAGTACTTAAGTAAAAGTACCAATACCCAGATAAATATTTACTTTAGTAAAAGTAGAAGTAACACAATGACAACCATACTTAAGTAAAAAGTAAAAAGTACTTTATTTTAAATGTACTTTAAGTATTAAAAGTAAAAGTACTATTTTCTAATGATTAATAAAACATTTAATTCTAACTCATTTAACCTAATAGCCTACTCCTATAATGATGTTCAATAATGATGGAAAAAAATGTCACCATTTCTGAAACAAGCTTGCAATTAGGAAATATCATGCTTATCCTTACTATATGTTAATAACTATTGGCAGTAAACGCGATTCATTTATGGTGTAATTCTGAACCTCTTGGCTTGCCATAATCCTAACCAAACCAAACATATATTACACACGGTGTATTTCCTATGCACGTAAAAACAAATTTTCGCGTGTGAGTGGCATGATAAACACACTGCGTGCGAGACGCATTTAGGTGATGTATCTATGGCAACCAAACGTCACTGGTGAGACAACGTGCAACGAACGGACGGTCAGATTACGTTTTGGCAGTGGAAAAACTGATCAGAAAATGTAACGAAAATGTAACAGAAGTTGTAAAAATGTAGTGGAGTAGAAAGTAGAATAATTGCTGCAAAATGTAACGAAGTAAAAGTAAAAAGTATGCACTATTTATTCTACTTAAGTAAAGTAAAGATACGTGAAAAATGTACTTAAGTAAAGTAACGAAGTATTTGTACTTCGTTACATTCCACCACTGATCACATGTAAGTTGTAATGGTTTAATTAGCACAATATGAGTGCTGACATGAATGGGAGAGCTGAGCATTGTGTCATATCTGACTGTGCGCTGTAAGAGAGACTTTCATTGTCAGTGCTAAATACCTTCACGGAAAGGCGTCTCTTTCTTTATTGGATCGTCCGCCGAGGGCCTGGCAGGTTTGCGTGATTGTTGGTTGTTTCTCCAAGCGGATTCTTGTGTGACAGTCTGTGTGTGCCCTCAGAACAAAAGGCTAGCTGCAGTGAGAGCCTGAGAGGCTCAGTCTTTTGGCTCCGTTCCGCGCACCGTCGAGTCTGGGCCTGCTGCAGGCAGGTGTGTCGGGCCGCGGGGCCCCTTTCACTCGCACACTTCCTCTTAAGCGCTCTCTCTCTCTTTCTCTGTAATTCATACAGTCCCCCTCTGCTCTCCCTCCTGTTCACCGGGAGAGACAAATTAAATGGAGATTCTTGTATCGCTCTGTCATGTTGGGCACCGGCTCTCATAAATCACAATAAAGTCGATTAGAAGCCTCCTGCCGTCTCGCACCCCCCACCCCCACGCACCTCAGGGGGTCTCCCGTGGCATCCCGAAACATCTGCATTTATTTACACAATAACACACCTAACAAGGTGCTTCCTAAAAGAGCCGCACAGGGGGAAAAAAACGTCAATTAATGCTAATTTGCAAATGTCAGAGGCATGTAAGCTTTCTTATTAAACAACAACAAGCTAGAAAAAAAGCAGAGGGTTGTAAATTGCATGTTGTGGATGTGGGGTGACATCGCGCGAGCCGACCTCGCTGCCAACTCTTTGGCTGCTTTTGATTAAGGCACATCATGATTGCTGTAGAGTGGGGGGCACGGACCACCCGCGTCTGCGAGCGGGGCTCCATGCCAGGGGCCGCCGCTCGTCTCGTCCCGCAGAGCACCGGCACTCTAAGTCGGCTCTCGTTCCTGCGGTCCGCTCAAATGACTGAGAGCGCTGAGTCTGTGTCTGCCGACGCACTACAGCAACAACAGGGCATGAGATGATGATTACAACCAGCCCCGGCCCCTCTCGGCCTCTCTCGGCGAAACGGAAAAATGGATCCGATCTGCGATTTAAAAGTCCAGCGGCTGGTTTCTTGCATGTAAGCTGCTCACCTCTGCCTATATGTGAATGCATGCCAGTATATAAATTGCTGAATCAGTGTCAGTGGTAAAGTAATGGCACGGGGCGAATCGTAAATTAGAGCCAGCCATCCCCCCGAACAGACAGCGGCGGTCGTGTCTGGGTAAGGTAGCCGAATGCGCGAGCGAGCGTTGGCAAGGTAATGAATGCCTTCATCTGGCCCCGGCAGTCAGCAGATTGCCCAGCGTTGATGGATACTGTCAGCCCTACGCCACACTACATTTCATTGCACAATAAACATGGCTGTCAAAGCCAAACAAAGTGAAATCAATTTATCCTGCACGGTGAGCGCGTGCTAAATGAAATTAATGTACTGTGCGGGGAACGTCGTTGCCGCCGTATAATCCCAGCGAAAGGGGCCGAGAGGAGCTGGGACGAGGCAGCTGGCTTGTAGTGTGTTTCGTGGTACAAAGTTGTGGAGAGGGAAGATCAGAGAGAGCCTGACTGACGCACCATGACTGTGTGGAGCCGGGCAGCCAGATAAACAGCAGCCCTTTCTGGATTATTATGATTGTTAAACATGACATGTGTAAATGGATCTTTTGGGCCCTGGGCAAAGCCTGTCTGCCCAGCAGGGCCTGGAGGATAGAGCCTCCTGCTGGTTGCCTGAAACTTAGACTCTCTCTCTCTCTCTCAGGGCCCCAGTGTGGCATGAGTGTGTGTGAACAGAGAAGGTACCTCTCCAACATTGCCTATTTCCCGCTCCTCCTTTTCTGAGCAGCACGCTGCCCTCGGAATAATCTCGGTATCCCGGTGCTTTAGTAGCGGTGCAGTGCCAAGATCCATTACTTAGATGGAGTTTTTATTTTGTTTATCAACACCACTGATAATAGAAATCAAAAGCAGGTATCGTGTGCCAAGACTTGAAGTTTCGGGGTCCTAATGAATACACATCACATGTGGATGATGAAATATTCATGGCTGATTCCAAGCCTTCTTATCCAGTTTTTGGATCATTAAAGATGTATCGCAGCATATGGGAAGGCCTTTTTTTTGTTTGTTTTATTTTTCAAGCCTTATTTATCAACATGTTTTTGTTTGTTGAAATATTCATACAGCTTTTATTTAATTCTTTCACATCTTACATATAAAAGGAAGCAAATGCGCATGCAAACAGAATCATTTTCACTCTGCTGTAAAGTTAAATACAGAAACTGGGAGGCACACATGCTGATTGTGAATGGCCTGATTGAGAAGTTACACTCCTTCAAGCCTGTTTGCTCTGTACTGCACTCACACCAGGCCTCATTCACTAACTCTACACACACATGTGTGAAATGCCTGTGATCATTTTTTTTTTTTTTTACAGACACCTAATTTTGTATTTTTATATACAGGTATCTGTCATATAATTATTTATTTTAATTCGTTTTTAGTATTATTAGTGACCCTACAAAGTATAGCCTAAAATTATTTTATCCAAGTAACACAAGTATATATTACCACTGTTTAAGTCTGCCTTTTGTCATCTTCTGTCTGTATGTGCTAGCACATTGAAAGCAATCACATGGAGATATATGTTTTGTCAGGACATTGGCACTGGCCTTCTCCCCTAATTTCACCTCATTTACACAAACACACTTGTGCCACATTTGTTATTCAGAGCATTACCATTATTACTCATAGCAGGAGAAACATTACGACAGCCATCCAGAAATGTACGGCGGTTCAAACGAATGAACGCTGCAACCCAGACAAAATATTTAAAAGCCATTATAGTGAGGGTCCTCCTCGTCTGGTTTGAGCTAGTTTTCACTCATCGGGAGTTCCTCGACCAACAATGCCGTCTTGTTCTATGCTCCAAAACATGGGCTTGTCCCATCCAGTTCTGGGATGGGCAGCCTGGAGTATGAGGTACGACTGCAGGCCTCCCTTCTCTGGTTCAGCTCCAGTCACACTGATGTGCTGATGGATGCCCTGCACTACTAGTTTGAATAACGGTTTGCACCCGCTTTCTCCTTCTTGCTCTGGTGTTCCTAGGGTGTAGGGAACTGAATGGCTCTGCAGATAAACCACATCAGTATTATTGTTGGCCAACAGGAGGCGCCAGCACTACCGAGGCACGGGTCTACAGGGAACCCCGGGGAAGGAACAGTAACGAACCTCACATCAAACGGCCCATGAACGCCTTCATGGTCTGGGCCAAAGATGAGCGCCGCAAAATCCTTCAGGCCTTCCCAGACATGCACAACTCCAACATCAGCAAAATCTTGGGTAAGTCAAGGCCCCCCAAATCAATCACGACCAGCAGTTATGGCCTTCTGCGTTAGCCTTTCCGTTTTCGTTTTGGGATGACGCCATGCTCCATACGAATAAACTGAACTGATGTCTTGGGAACTATTCTAGAGTGCTTCAGATACTGCTGAAAATGTCTTTGCTTGTTTTGGATCACACGAATCCAGTAGTCTTTTTTTTTTTTTTTTTTTTAACACAGCCGTTTAAAGAGTCATTCTACTTACTGAAATGGCTTTACTTTTCTTCAGAGTAACTACTCAAGGAATGATTGTCATTAACTATATGCTTTCATTCAAGCTCTGAAATGTATTATTATCAAAATAATAATAATGCAAGCAGAATGTATTAAGTGTGTTTCTATTGTGGTTTAAGCACTGGTCTAATGAAATAAAAAAAAGATTATAGTAAGCATAGTTTGCATTTTTGGTTACACTTTATTTTAAGGTAAAAAGGAATGCGTTATATTAATTAACTACATGTACTTGAGTTACAGTCAGGGTTTGGTTTAGGGTTAGTTACTTGTAATTATGCATAATTTATTACTACTAGTAAGTGCATTTTTAAATAAAGTGTTTCCGATTTTTAAAATATGTTACTATTGGTGTTTCCATGTTTTGTTTTTAATTCATATATATATATATATATATATATATATATATATATATTCTAATAATGACACTGATGATAGTATCAGCATGAATTAGGACAGCAGAAACACTGAACCTCTGTTGAGGTAAAGGGTGGGTCTGTTTTTACCAAACTGAAACAGCCCACTATTTTGGACCAAAACCAAGACTTACAAAACTAAAATGTAGCTGAATTGCACCATTAAGAGAGAGGGTGAGTGTTATGTTGATTGACTAGATATTTCAGCTTGCAGTACGTCGGACCTTGAATTGCACAACATATGCAAATGAATATTGCCATGCCAGTTTTTCCCCTCTTAGCAATCAATAAACAAGCATCTCAGCATTACATAGCTACTAAGCAAAATGTATGTTGTGAATAAGATGTTCAGGCCATTACCACACCTGCCTAATCTTTTGCAAGTAATTCCACACAATTCAATGCATCTCAAACAGACGAGCACAGTTAAACTTGATGGTGTGCTGCCTGCGGGAGCAGCTCAATTAGATGGATTTAGTGGCTGTCACATGGGCAGTGTTTGTCATGAAAAATGACAGGGCTAAATGGGTCTTGTCCCCCAGTCCAGAGAGTCAATAGATCACCGCAACTAAAAGTCCCGTCAGCCAGGACATTCTGAAGGCTGAAGATATTTACTGGCCTGTTGTTTCCACTAATGCAGCAACAGTAACAGTCATGCAGTTACCCTTCATTCACAAAAGCAGTGCTTGCCTCAGAATAATGCAGTGTTCTACATTGTGTTTGTCTCTAAATGTAAAAATACATTTAAATAGCATTCATTTCAGGTATTTCATTCATTTTATTAAAAATAATAGATTTATAATCAAATAAAATGTAGTTATAAATGTAGTTATTAAAATGTATTGAATTTAAATATATAAAATGAAATCCCTCCTGTGTCATTCCTAACTTCTCACCTGTGTTCAACAGGATCTCGCTGGAAGTCCATGACAAACCAGGAGAAACAACCGTATTATGAAGAGCAGGCACGGCTCAGCAAGATCCACCTGGAGAAGTATCCCAACTACAAGTACAAGCCCAGACCCAAGCGCACCTGCATCATCGACGGCAAGAAGCTGCGCATCGGCGAGTACAAGCAGATGATGAGGTCGAGGAGGCAGGAGATGAGGCAGTTCTTCACTGTGGGGTAGGCGCACGGCAGGAACAATGCCCTTAAAACCCCGTAGACTGTTAATAAAGATCACACAATAGGCAGGTAATGATTCCATGCCGTGTGCCAACTCCTGGTGTAAAGCCAGTGACCCTCTAATCAGGTTGATTGGAATAATTCAGCCACTTAGCTCATTTGTCACGTTATATGGCCCTCGCACTTAATTTTAATATACGCTTCAAAGCTAAGTGAGCGTCGCCTTTTGTTGCGCACACGCTCCCTTTGTGATTATATGCTGTGGTAAATTTATTTTTTCTGTGGAGGAGGGGAAATGCACTGTATGGCCCCGGGTTGAATCCCATTGACAAAATAGTATTTTCTTTCAGCCGCTTGAAAGTGGTGGTTTATCGCATTTAGACGGTAACAGAGGGCAGCGGGACTCGCGTAGCCATTATTTTAGGATATTAGAGTCGAGTATGAATGTAGAGAGGGCTGCAGGGCAGATGTTTGGAGCACAACTCTATAATTTACTGCGTGTGGTGAGTGAAGAAAATGCCTGCTCCAGGTGTTTCCACTTCAACAGCAAGAAATACGAGCGCTGGAGTATCAATCAGCCTGTTAAAGATCAGGAGACTGTGTCTCTACCAACCAATTGGCTTTGTCGCCCTGAAAGAAATGAGTGTCATTTTCACAATCGTTCCCAAATCGTTGTCGCTGATTGGGAATAATATTTTACGGGGCTACTGCTTGGTCACGTTCCATTCAAGCCTGGTTTTTAAACTCCCCCAAGCTTTACGCTTTCGACCAGCGTTTGGTTCTGTGCATTCTTTCCGTTCTCTTATTCCCCGAGACCGTAATTGTTTTCCTTGAGAAGCGTTAAACTTGTCATCCGTCTCTTAAAAGCTCTTAAGCTTCTCTGAGCTTTGTAAAAAGTAAAAGCGCACACTTGCTCTTCATACGCATAAAACTGTCTTTCTCCCGTGTGTTTCTTCACCTCTGTATCAGGCAGCAGCCACAGACGCAGATCCCCATCACCACCAGCGCAGGTGTCGTCTACCCCGGTGCCATAACCATGGCGACCACTACGCCCTCCCCTCACATGACGTCAGACTGTTCCAGTGCCTCGGCCAGCCCCGAGCCCACCATCCCCGTCATCCAGAGCACCTTCAACATGAAGATGGAACCGGGCACCATGGTGTCTAGCGACCCAGTGAACGGAGAGGACGAGATGGACATGTACGAGGACTTTGAGGATGAGCCCAAATCGGACTACAGCAGTGACACACAGGAGCCGGTCAGTGCCAACTGAGGCCAAGACACACCCTGTGAAGAATATCCTTTTATTAGAGGGAAGACTGAAGAAGATGAAAAAGAGAACATGACGAACAAAAAAAAAAAAAAAAAGAAATCGAAAAACTTGTTTCTAACGATACACATTTTGGGAGCCAGCATGCAGATGTGGCTCCTTCAGATTTAACAGCTATTGGTCTTAAACGTTTCTCCGAGTGTGAAACAATTTGATTGTTTTATTTTGGCTTTTTTTATTTTATTATTATTATTGTTATTTTATTGATTTTTTTTTTCTTGTGTTTTGATCATGGACAATTTAGGGTATTTCCTACGACATTTTTAAATAATAGGACAATTGAAACATTTCATATGAATGCATAACTCACAGTCTTACTCAAATTCATATGGATTTACACATGTATTTGTTGAAACCTTTTTTTTTTTTTTTCCTTTGAAGCGTACATTACTGTTTTAAATGGGGTTCTATATCTCACTCAGGTATGCTGTACCAGCCAACAGCTTGTGAATGTTTTTAATCAGAACTATTTCAAATGAAAAAGACAAAAACACTTCATTTGACATTTCATAATACGATAAAACTGAAGAAGTCCTTACATTTGATGAACCATAGAGGGAAAGCCTAAAACTCCCCAATTATTATTGTTGTTAATATTATTATTATTATTATTATTATTACATTTAAACAAAAAAAAAGTCCAGATGTGCCAAACATATCATAAGCTTCCTGCTCTTAAATCTTAAATTTGAAAGTCTTAAGGGAGAGACTGCATGAGTCTTAGACAATCCTTGCAATCTTATCTACAAAGCCCACTTTCACTTTCTACCACCTTCAAATGCTCAGGAACTAAGAGTGTTATAGTTCTCCAGGAGGTTCAATGCAGTGATCATCTGACCACCGGCCTCGTCTAGTTCAGTCTTACCCGCTCGGTTCTTAATCACAGTGATTGTAATCAGGCCAGAATGCCAAGGGGCCAAATGGCATCCAATCTGCAGAATTGGACAGGCAGCGAAAGGCAGCTTTGGCGTATTACAATCACAAATTGCTGTTGTACAATATGTACACGCACATTCTGCTAAAGTCTTTAGCCCCGTTTTCCAGGGCAGCAAGTATTTTTTTTTTTTTTTTACACTTAAGTCTTCTGGACATTGTAATTTTAACAGACATAAAATAGTCTTAAAGCCCTTTGGGCTTCTGCAATTTGTTCATCATCAAGTCTTAAGAGAACGTCCAGTTTATTGGGATGTTTTGGCCAGTTATGCAGAAAAAAAATGAAGTAAACTAATAATGGCACTTATTTTCCAAATTTTCTATACACTGTCTAATGATACTTGGATTTAACATGGTTTAATTGTATTTGCATTTGAACAGAAGACTTTGGATCTTGGATCTTTTTTAGCACTTGAAAAAGAAAAAAAGGCGACAATTCATAGCGAAAAAGCACATTTTTGCTCCTTTGTATTCAGCCCCGCAGCTCCACTAAATTATCTGCTCGTTCCGGCAGTAGAACGGATCTCAGGTTGTTTCCGTGTGGAAGGACGGCCAAGAAGCAGCCAGCGGTCAGGGCCTCTTGTTTTAGACTTTGGCCCTGCTGAAAGCTCCTACAGGGTGCGAGTGCCATTCACCTCCACTCACCTGACCTCTGCCCAGCACACACCATCCCTCAAGGGGCTGCCATCTGGCTCCCGGCATCGGCCCATGCCCAGGAGAAAGGTGAAGAACAATGGAGATGAGGCCCATGTGGTTTATTGTGCCCTCTCTCCATCAAAGCTCTAGCGAAAGGCCGCGGCCAGACGCAGCCACGAGGTGCTAGCGAGCAGATGGAACAAGTAGATCAAGCTGTGGGGGATTATTAAAATGACTGACGAGTCGGTATCATCTGAAATATGGCATTATTAATGCATGAGTCCCGCTATTTTGCCTTTGCCCTTGAACCTGTCTGTTTCATGGGTAACCCAGAGATTAGAATAGACAGGAAATGTCACAGCAAGGCTGCTGGTCACTGCATTACCTCCAAAGGTCTAAAAGGTACTGATGACTATTTAGCGCTTACTTCTCTCCCAGCAGTTGAAGCATTCACTTTTTCTTTTCAGCACCCCTCTTTGAAAAGCATTTACTTAATTCGTAGAAGTTTCGAGCACTTCTTTAGTGGCTTGTATTTGTACCTTTTATTTTGTTGGTTTTGTTTAAGTTTGTTGTGATTTTTACAATAAGGTACAATACTTGGCTGGATGTCCCTTGACATCCGCGTTAATTTTCTTTTTTTGTTTCTTCCCTGCTTACAAGCCAACGTTTATTGTTTAAAGCTGTTATATCTGTTTGCTGGTGGATTGGTTGATTTGTACGTGATTTGTACATATTTCCTTGACCATGCCAAGCCAGTTCTGTAGGCTGGTAGCAGACAAAAGGACTGTTGTTGGGACTGAAACTTGATTGCGCTTGTATAGATAAAAAAAAAAAAAAAAAGAGAAGAAAAGAAAAAAGACTATTTCAATCTCACATGGAGACAATGATTCAAAAGTGTTACAAGCACTGGATATAAATGGTATTTTTTATCAATTCTGACAAATGTGAAGCCGTTGTGCGAGAAAAAAAAAAAAAGAAAAAACCTACATGAACAAGTCACCTGTTTGGACTCTGTATGTGAGCGCGCCTCACAGTTGCCAGATTTGAGTCATTTTTCTCTTGACATATTTTGTTTATTTATGCAAAGACACGTGATGAATGAACACTTTGTTTAAGCTCCAGTGCTGCCTAGGGGAGAAAGAGCAGTATACTCGACGGAGAAGCTTGCGTAGTGACTGAGACACACCGGACTTCAGTAGCACATTTTAATGGTCATGTATGTTTGTGTTGTATATTGTATTTGAAGCTCTCTAGTGCATAGACATTTTATTGTATTTATTAGCCATTTTTGGCTCTAAAAGTGTCAGTAGAACAGAATTAAAGGACAATCAGAGAACAAGAATAAAAACAGTGAAATTTCAAAATGGATTGGAGCTCAAAACAAAGTTTTTTTTTTAATCTCCATCTCATTTTTTTTTCTTTTCATTGTAAATATAACATAGGAAAATAGAATTCTATTTTTGTTCATGGATACTTACTGAAGTATAAATTATGTATTTTACTTTTTCTCTTCTCTGTGTGAGTGTGTGTGTGTTTGTTTGTGTGTGTGTATGTTTTTGGTCATTGTACTTAGAAAAAGAACGAAATCACAAACTGACAATTCACTGTACCTCATGTTGCTGAATTCACATCCCTGTTGATTAAGTGGTATTGGAGAAACAGCTGAGACATCTCACTTCGATGTGTTTCAGTGATGAACCTCGCACTCCATGCTGAATTAACCAGCCATTTGCTATGTTGTTAGTGCACTCTGTAGCAAAGGACAAATCTTGAAATCCATGTACGTATTTTTTTTTTTAATAAGGTACTTGCTGAAGTTATAATTGGTTGTGTGCCAAATTTGAATGAGAGAACATGTACAGTAATTGTGGGGCATCAGTTGTGGTGTGTCATTCAGTACAGCATTATCTGAAAACATGTGAGTTTCTTAGTGAGCATTTAATCCATTGGGGATGTGCAAATATTTATGTTTTTTTTTTTTTTTTTTAATGCTGCACAATGCAGACCCACTCTTTGCATTTGAGGTTTTCATACAATGTGTTGCTTCATAGTGTTTAATAGACCATTTCCCATCCAGTCAACAGCAAGTCTAAATGACATTTATTTTATAATACATAACTGTCACTGCCATATTAATGCAAAGTAGGTACAATAACTGAGGACAAAGCTTGGGTGTTTCTACTTATCTTACTGTAATGCTTTTTTTTTTTTTTTGTATGGACTTTTGTGATGTATATTGTGGGATAGATTTTGTTAATTTAATCAGCACAATTCACTGACATGCTGGACTGACATGCTAGCTGCTGTTCAGAAGAGTAAAATGTTACCACCAGGGATGACGTATGCTGTTGTCAATGGTATTTTGCTTTTAGATTTCTCTAGTCTCTCAAGCAACACTGTGTGTGGCTCATCTGTCGCTAGTTACACTCTTGTTTTGAATCTTGCTAGCAGCCTGATAACACTTTTCTTTAATTTTGTCTTTTTATGTGTGTGTGTGTGTGTGTGTGTGTGCGCGCGTTTGTGTGTGTGTGTGTAGAGACCGGTTTCTCAGCAGGTACATAGACCCATGGCAGGTATTATTGTTCGGGCGTTAGAGATATAGAATAGTATCTGTTGCTGCTTTTGGGAGAAAAAAAAAGTTTTAAGTCTAAAAATGTAAATAGTTTTATCATAATATCTTGTACAGTCCAGTGTAAAGTTTTTAATTGAACTTAAAAAGGTTGCCATCACATTTGTGTTCACATTCTTCTTTTTACAGTACAAAAGACAGCTATTTGCTAAGGATATTATTGTTAAAAAAATGAAAAAAGGTACTAAAAATATTTTTGCTTGGCTTTAGTATGTAAACCAGCAAGTCATTGGTTTCCATGTGCAGTATTGACGTGAGGTAAACTAATTAATGCTACAGTTGTATGTCCAGAGACCAGTCTTCTCTGTATTGGTAGTATTATTATATCAAATAAAATAAAGCAGATGAGTGACACATTTTGGTGTATTTAGACACCTTAGTGAATTGTACAAATATCTAGGATGTTCTCCCCACAAGCAGCATTTGGCATATTGTAATGTAACACCATTTCTACAGTATATTCTCAATTCACTGATGTATGATGGCAGATGAGGGTGTTCCTGTCTGTTTGCTTATTTACCTCAAGAGTTCCTCTTTTTTCCATAAAAGATAGAGTACACACACGTATGACAAAATCGTCTCACCATCACTCCATCTTTTGTACTGCTGTTGACACTTACAAATTAAAGAGACATTTTGTTTTATTTGTTGCGTGTTGTTGTTTTTATTTTATTTTTCAGTGGTATTAAGTTGTAGACATATTTAAAATATTATTTAATCAGAAGTATGTGGAAAGTAATTATTTGGAATTAATTTAATTGATGTTAGGAGTTTGCTGTGCTCAGTAGTAAATTAATTTACTTTAAGCCTTGAGAATAATATGAGCTAACTACCATAATAAATGCAATAGATGAAGTAGAATACAA